CACCCAGCTTGAAATCGCCTCAAATACGTCCTCTTCAGAGTCCACTGACAGATCGTCGTTTCGCAACAAAGTCAGCACGGTGTCAGCTGGCAGGCGAACAAAGAGGTCAGACGAGACGAAACTCCTAAACTGCTCTTGCATCAGATTGATGCAAGTCTCCATCAGGGATCCCATATTCGAAGATCTAGCAAAGTCCCATGTGGTTGCCAGATTTTCTAAATTCACCCTTTAAAGCCGACAGTTAAACAGAAAGAACCGGCACTTGCTTACCTATTGGCCATGAATCGCACTCCCCAATTCTCCAGATCAGACAGTCTCATCATTTTGGCAAACATCACTATGGCCATCGCATTCGTTTGGGTTACCTCCAACTGCCCGGTGTACACATACTGGAGGAGTGAATTTGCGAGGCTAGAAAGTGCAAAAGCAAAATCAGAGAAAGGAGGATGATTTTACTTCAGAGGCACCGTCGGCCATTTTAGGACCGAATTATCCTTCCCGAGGGCGCCACTGAGAGCAGCTCGCAATGACGGAATGCGAGCTGCTAGTATTATTCGATGGGCATTGAAAATAGCGCCGTGCTTCACCTAACAAACACGAACAAATTTCCGTGTAAAGAACGGTAACAGGAGGGAGAGGTACCACTATGGTGAGGTCTTTGAATTCTCCGGAAGTGCGAATCTCGTTGAGGGCTGGACAGCTACGACCCAGGGGAAATGGGTCTTCGAATACTTCGACGTCTGCGAGAGCCATTTGGAGTGATAACCGGATCAGGAGCGACGAATGATCGCGAGTGCCATTAGCACTGCCTCTTATAGTGCCAGCACACTTTGAACCCGCCCGCACGCACTCATGACCTTCGGGTCCTGATTGGCCGATTTCAAAGTGCGGATTCGATTGGGCGATAGTCGGCACAGTTATGTGGTGTAATGCGTAGGTGAGATCCCCCCGAGTTATTTTTATTGGTCAGAGCTACATGGGCTAGACACCGCCGATGGCGCACTTTCAAAGCCAAATGGACTGACGTGTAACTTACTAACGAGGATACCGTCTACGAAAATTCAATTATTGCCATTGGGTTTTGGTTCGTTTTGTGCTGATAAAGAGTGTTGGTGAAAACCGCATGGTGGCTGGGCGGGGTTTCGTGTGTCCATGCGGAAAAACGAGCAAATAAAGTAGTTCACGTAGAATAATTTTAAAGAGTCCTTTAGTAACGTTCG